TTAGTGTATGTCAGAACGTAGAGTTATGTAACTAACGACTTGGTGCACCATATTACTAACAAAAACATTGCTAGACTATACATAAAATAGTTTTATGTTATATTGAAGTTGTAGTACTGTAGGTACTATATCAGGGGCGATGTCGTTATTGACGTATTGCGGGTACGAACAGGAACTACGAGTAGTTGCATGATTGTGCCGTACGTATATTTAAAGCGGTGCCAAATGCATATACACTCCAGACAATGTCTTCTTATCTTGTACGTTGTAGCCACCCGTTTTAAAATCCATGGTATATGTGCAAAGTTATAATATAAATTCGTGTATTAAATACAATAGAGTAATTGAGGGCAAATGATTCACGCGGTAAATTAATAACACCAATATCTGGCGGGAAGAAGCGTAATCAGTGTGGCATGGCGCACTTCCGCAGGCTTTGGTTTTAGAATAAATTCCCTATTAGAGTTATAAATTAGTGCCGGGAATGCGTCAAGATAAATATAATCCTAAAAGCTTTTTCTATTATTTTTACCGCTGTGTGTAGTTGACGCATGACGCATTGTAATCCGAATCCCTGCCGCGTTTGTTGTTTCAAGTCGCCTGTCCAGACAACAAGCACACAAAGAAAAATGTTCAGTGAAGCAGCGGACCAACACAGATTTATAATCCAAGCCCGATTCCAAGGCATATAGGTAAACCCAAGCGCGCTAAGTACAGTACATTCTTCGGCAAATCCCGTCCAACCAACAGACAATCAGCCAGTGTCTGCTTGCCGGCTGGGGCATGCTCAAATAAATGGGTACTTATGCGTTGCCGTGTCGTGCAGAGGTAGCCAGTAGTCCCAGTATACGCATCTCTCACGTAAAGCGGAATATCTTTAACATCATTAATATCTTTAATATTAGGAATTCTGTAAGAACATTAAGGTGGACATGATAACTTATGAAATATAACTAGTGGACATTTTTCGGGCTGATTTCGGTGCAACTTGTTTACATGTACTGTACGTTGGGCATCATTTGCGTATTGTGCTTCACTTGAAAATTTTGATAAATATGTTCCTCTCGTGCATCTACCAAACTTGCTTGGTAAAAAAAGAAAGAAAACAATAAAAAATTTGCAATTAATTAAGTAATTGTTTTGTGAACACCTTTATACGATGTAATTTGAAGATATACGTTGTAATTTTGATCTTCGTGATAGATTCTATTAGACATCGCAGTCGCATGAAAAACTCTAATTTTGCGGGCTTCGTTCTCAATAAATTCCTCGTAATAGTACCAAACAAATGTCGCGTATGTGTAAATTAACACACGGCAATTAAATGACAATCGAATCAGCGTTTTTTTTTTTAATGTTGCACCCGTAGAAGAGATAAAAAATCATTTTAAGATTAATTGTTATAGGTCGGTTTCTCTTCTTATTTACTGCTGGGTGAAGTTCTGTGACAGTATTTTGCACTAACAGTTACGCTAGTTGTTGTTGATGGAAGTCCTGACCAAGAGAAAATAAGCAATGGATTCATGCAGAAAATAGCAAAGCCATAAAAACTTCAGGTGCACCGGTCTCTTCGGCAAATCCCATCCAATTAGCATGCACTTAGCGAGTGCATCATAGCAGGCTGGGGGATGCCGAAAACGGGTGCGCCTTGCCATGTCATCAAAACGGTTTCCTCCAGTAAAGCGAAACATCATCAGCAGAGTCTTGCATAAGAATTCTCTATAAACGTGGAGCTGGACATGAAAATTAGAGCATTATTTAAAAACAAAGGACAATTCTTCGAACAAGTTTATCTTGGGTTAAGTGTTGGGTTTGCTGCCTAAAGATAAAAGAAAACGCTAGTTACGCAACCGTCAACGTCTACATGCCAAATAACTGCAAACAGCACCGGAAAGAGAATCGCAGTTATACAAACTTTTTAACCGGGTATCTCTACTTACCTGGTTAAGTCTCTGCATGGAAGTTGGTACCGTTACTGTGTAATCAGACATAGCGATCGGCATTTTAGTTCTCATCTTTACTCTAATGACACATCGTTCATTACTCAGTATGACTCCAACACTGATGCATTGTTAACGGGGCCATGTGCAGCTTATTTCAGTAATTTCTAGCGTGCGCTTGCAAGCATTACCAGACCTACACCAATTTGCGCACGTACTAAAAAAATCCGTTTACCATGCATATCAGGAATACGCATTTAACCATATGGTTTCCGAAAATCTCGCCCTCTACGAGTAGTACTCGTACGTAAGTCAAGGAAAACCACACATACAAGAACTTACTGGGAGAAAATTCTCAGTACACATATCAACAAAACCATGGGACAATATAGCGGTTTTGCAGAGCGATGGAATTGTATAGCAGGTCATTTAACTGTGCGATGTTGATCTCTATTCTGAATCTAACTGTTCTATCCAGGTTCATCCGGTACGGCGCTTTAACAATTAAAACAAGTACTGTAAGCCGCACGTTTTAGTCCACGGAAACGTTTTGGTTGGCCCATCGCAAACACGATAAGCAATGTAATTAGTGGGAAATTTATTTTTCTCGATAACGCTTATCTCAACCGCACATCGTTCATCAAGTACATGGGCTACTTGCATAATCGCATGCTAAGGTTGGCAACTGAACATTTTCCAGTTGTTCGTTTTCGTTGAGTTTGTCGATCGTGGAGTATCTATTACAGTCAGCCGGCGCACAAGACACAGTTTTCGCCCATTGCTACTATTTGTGATTCTTTAAAATTAGAAAGAATCTATTTTTGCGGAATCCCATGATTATGCAACGTGGCATTGACGCGCTACGGAGTACGGACCGCTATTGCCATCGCTAATTCCATTATCCTGCACGACTGGACGATGGCACTGCAGCGCACGTTGCACAAATTGTAGTGTGCAGCAGTGTCCTGCGGTCCCCTGGTCTAGTCCGTGAAATATCGGCTGCATACTGCTTTCCCGGGGGTATCCGCACGCGTTGCTGCATCTGTTCTGTTGCGTTCGGCTATTCTTAAAATAACCACGGAGGTCAGCGTTTAATCTTTACCCTGATTTGTACTAGAGTATGTAAGTGTTGAGTTATATAAGTTATATAACTGACTACTTGGTGCGCCATATTACCAACTTAAACGCTGCTGTATTATAGATAAAAATAGTATAATGTGATGATTATTGAAATTTGTAGTACTATATCAGGATTCAGTGGCGATGCCATTATAGATGTATTGCGAATATGAACAGGAACTTGTTGAATTAATGGGCCAAACGTATAGCTAAAGCGGTTGCTGAAAATGCATATAAACACCAGAAATATTAATATTCTCTTGTCTTGTACGTTTCAGCCACCCGTTTTACAATCCATGGTGTATGTAATAATAAGTAATAATGTACGTACTTATATTATTGACAATAAAGAAATTGAAGAGAAACGATTCATGCAATAAATATGAGGCATGGCACGCTGTAGTACGGAAGTTGGGTAACTCATGAACCTGCACTTTATTCGGTGTTTTAGTATACTCAATCGGTCGACAGGCTTGAGCATATGCTCTGGCCACGCAATCGCCGACGATGTAGCGGCATTTACTGTGCCGTTATGAAGGCCAACGGAGCACAACTGCTATCAGAAATATGGACCGGAAGTGCGATGCCTTGTTACTATTTTATATTATGGTAAAAACGCTATGACTCATGCGCAAGATAGCTACACCAGCGGTATATTAACATTTGTACATGTGTGCGGTTGTCTAACATATTGTGAACTAATTAGTATAGTAAGAGCCTTGTTTAGGCGTTATTTGTCATCAGAGCTACTTTATCATACACAATTATGCTTTATAATAATAGAAAAGTTCCGTTGTTATCGACGGCTGCGTTGTACGTTACACTGAAACGATGACAATTACAGTAATTTTTACGTTTGCAATTAATATATACATAAATATTCGCGCTTAAATGTAAGGTTCGGGCAACACAAACCAGCAGAAAAATCCACAGTTACCACAAACAGGTGCTTGCTCATAAAAACAGGCAACACGGTAATGGATAGGATAGAAAAATTTTACTACAGGGAAAATTTGCTTAAAAACGCCTGTGAATTTACATTTTTCTCTTGGAAAAAATCAAGGTGACCGCTTACGGTTCATGCACGTTAGCGCTATGCGCATCCTGGGTAGCCTAGAAATTGAAATTTTAACGTGCAATTTTTTTGATATAACGGGAAAAAAACTTGATTGTTTTTGTTACGAATTGTTACACCAATTTTTAATAAAAATTTGATGATTAGTTATGATATTATTTACTGCAAACCATATCACTACACAGCGTCATAAAGCAGTGCAAAAAGGTGTTTGGAAATGCGCCAAAACAAACAATTTTCTAATAACTTTCTACAGAATTTTAAATAATTATATTGTCTGGAGGAAATGCTTTATTGATCCCGGAAGGCGATCAATACCCAGTGATAACCGTTTTTGATAATGCAGTTTTTGTGCTTACTTTATCCGATGTGTCTTCTGACTGCTGTACTCAGTTTACGCGCATGGCGTGTTGAACTTACCGGGGCCCCGTCACCGGATGTAAATTCAAAAAATTCTGATCTTTTGCAGAAAGACAGAGTAACATTAGAATAAACGGAAAAAATTAGTTTCATCTGCCATGGTAAATGGGCGTGGCTAAAACACAATTTAACAATAAATTCTACGCTATGCTATAGTCTATCAGGGCATTGGACCGCACCACACGTTGTGACTTTACTGAACAACCTGTACGAGGCCAGTTTAAGTACTGGTAACAAATCATTAAAGTAGGGAGCAGTGCAAATAATCATGCACAGCGATCGGTGGGGAAATGTTTTTTTCTCCGCATTTATCGTACATCGTACAAGTAAAGCGGACGATGTGGCATGCCACTGTGTGATAAACTATTTCCCACTATGTTGCGCCAACATGGATGTACAGTTTATCAGTCCGTGTGCAGTTTATTTACAGTAATTAATATCACCAGGAAATGCAGCCGGAGAGCAAAACAACGCTTACCTAGAAGCGGAAACAACTGCTGAGTACAGTTTATTTACGCCAGTCAGATTCCCCTTTTGTACCTTGTACTTATTACGTAGTGTACGAGTAATTTACTAACCAACAAAGATAGCCAGATCTTCAGTAGAGGCGTCCCACCGGGTTATTGGACATATTTTTTCGGTTAAGTGTTGCGATCCTCGTAAATTACACTCTCTCTGTTCCAGAACGGAGTATTATCATCCGTAATCAGGGAATGCACTTTCGACCACAATGAATGTCACCCCCGTCGGTGTTGCTTTATGCTGATCCACCGCTTCTCAAAGTCACTCCCGGCGTTCCCGAGCCATTATCAAAATCTGGAGACTTTTGTTTTGTATACCATGCTGCTACGCTCCACTCAACGGATAGAGGAGTTATTCGTGGATGGCCCTTATGTTCTTCAATATACCCTTTACTATCGTCTGCCAATCGATCGCCTGGCTGACCGTCACTCTGGCGGTATTTCGCTTCTGGGCGGTGGTGTTGCCCAAAAATGACGCGATGTACTACAAGATGGCGCTGACGTCCATTATTGTCGCGGTAGTCGCGATATGCATTTTTTGATCTCTAGGAACAGTTTGAAGTCAGGAAAGTGGCATGATATACATGTATATTTTCTTGACGAAGTCGTATTTGAGGTTGGTTCTCAGACGGACTTAGAGCACCTGTTCTAACGCATATTTTCTTTTTTTTCTGCAATGTGCAAGTCGATATATTTGAGGCGTCTACCTTTGCATTCTGATTTTTTACAAGAATTATACCATATCAGCTAAACAGTTACTGTAATTTGTGACCCAGGCCCTTGAGAAAGTTACGCGGTACTGTTTGCACAGTTTCACCATGATGCGCCGGAATACATGGATCCAGGAGGTGGCATCGTGGCGGCGATGTAATATGTACAAGTACAGTAGTGGCGGATCGGAATTATGTCGTGCAACAATCTGCGCAGTCTGCGATCCGCAAGTTTCTCAGGTTGTTGTATGTCAGATACGATCCGCAGAATGTGGATAACGACCGTCTATGCGGATTTTGAAGCCAAACTGCTTCCGTGCTCCTGTCTCTTCAGCCACAGGTGAAATAATTCGGCTTAGCGTTTTTGGCCGTTTTCCATCGCCTTTACCTACGTGGGTTGTTTAGAATGAATGAAATTATTTTATCTGCTTAAATTACATAATACTTAGGTATTACATACCATTTTACATAACACTTTTTATGGCAATACGCCAATTTTTATGGCTTTTTATGGCAATTTCTATGCTGCAATCCTTACGTCAGTATTCTTCTGATATATTTTATTGAGTGAACAACAGTTTGAATTAAATTTTGTATTTTTATTTCATTCGCCAGCCAACGGGACGGGATTTTACAGCGGCTGCAGTAAGGGTCATCTTCATCCTTACTGTAGTGATCTTCATCCTTACCGACTGTACGACGGGATTACTGGCGCTCTTTACTTGTTTCTCGAAGTCTCTCCGTGGGCTTGTTCGGCAATGCCCACGTACCGTTCGGCGATTTGATGGATACACTGCAGTTAGGCAGTCCCCTCGTTTTGATCATCTTCTGTTCCCTGAGCGGGGATATCCGACGAACGTTTCGTCAGATGTTGTGGGGCAAATGATAAAAGCCAGCGGCGGAAGGACCAGAGCGGGCCGGTTGTTGTAACTTGAATTAAATTAAAAAGTTTGTTTCAAAATCTTATTCTTCCATGTTCGCTTCTTATTGAAGCGATTTCCCTATAGCTATATGCCGGTTTCTTTGTATACGGTCATACACGATTTTTCTGTGTACGGCAACGCTTTTAATGGTTCAAGCTACGCTAGGTAAAGAAAATACATTTTTAATAGAAAATTTTATTTCTAAGGTTCAATTTTCAAAAATGATTTTAGCGCAATGTGTAAAGCAGTAGGGATGAATGTGTTTTACCAAGAACTCGAAAAATGTGTTTTACCAAGAACTGTGTCTCGAAAAAATCCGGAAGTGTGTCCCAACTGGCGGAAAATTCCAAGCGCCGGACTTATTCTTTTCTGGAATACGGTTACCTCTTTTATCCCCTGGTTATTGAGACACTGGGAGTTTTTGGCCCTGCCTTCAGTGAAATGCTGCGTTTCCTGGGCCGCAAGATTCGGGACATAACAGGCGAAGCGCGTTCTACTGCTTTTCTCAAGCAGCGTTTTAGTTTAGCTGTTGTTAAAGGAAATGCTACGGCTGTTTTGAGTACACTGCCTTTTAATCCGAGAGAGGATAAGGATTATGGTTGTTTTTTAATGTTTAATTTTTAACTATTAAGTAGTGTACCAGCGCTTGCATTTATTGCTATTTGGGTGGCTATTGCCAATAAACTTTTGTTTTACCAAGAACTACTCTTAATGCACCGTTTCGTCAAAACTTTACGCCACGGAAGATTAATATTTTGGCAGCTTAATACTTAAATTATTTAAGTTATTACTTAAGTTACCTCGTTATTATTTTTTAACACTGCACGCGTAAGCGAATGAAACTTTCTTTATCAAAAACATGTGCAGATCACATCAATCAACAGATGCAACTGCACAACCGTAAAAGCCGAGATAATTAGATCTGCTCACAAAAATGCAATCCTGCCACAAAGCAAGAAATTAACAAAAGACTGCAGTGTGTTGCATTGTATTCAAGTTTTAAATAGAGACGTTAACTACACTGGTGGAGGTCAATTACATTTGGGTAACCGTTGCGCGACGGGTAACGGCGCGACGCGTAAAAAACGATGAATGAGTCAGCAAAAAATGAAATAACAAATAAGAAGACGAGTAAGTTTACGTGCCAGGGTAGAAACTGACCATCCAAAGTGTAAAAAAGTTACGTTGCAAACGCGTCTGTGGTACAGGCTACTGAATGAATCTTTTTTCGATACGAAAAACAGTAATGTATTTGGAACTATCGATTAAGAGTGTGCAACAAAATATCATCTTTTGTTATCTTCCTGGTATGGCACCGACGAGAAAACGGAGATTTCTTAACCTGTGTGACAAAAGAATTATCAGTCTGAGGCCGAGGAGCTTAAGTTTGAATTGGCAGCGGGTCTCCACTAGACACCTTTGGTTTTATGGGTCGCGGCTTCTTCTTCGGGGGAGGGGTCCTCTTATTAGGAGATTTCATAATGGCACAATAGGTAACGAAGAAATAAAAATGACAACCTACAGCGCTTGTGTTCAGCAATGCGATCTCGATATGCTGATGGCATAAATACAAAAGAAAACGTAAACAGTACAACAACTTTTAAGGAGAAATAATTCTGCAAGTGTACGTCAGTCCGACAACTAAAATTATTCTAAAATTCAAAAAAATTTGTTGTTCGGTGTGAGTCGAGCGCGTAAGTAGTTTGGGTAATGGTTGCGCTTCGACGTCGAAGCGCAACGCTTACGCGGACAAGTAAGCTGAAAACCCATCCCCGATTTCGTGATTACGAATCAGAATGTTTACTTGCTTACGCGCTGTTACGTCACATTTTTTACGCGTTTCCCCGTTACCCGTCGCGCAACGGTTACCCAAATGTAATTGACCTCCACCACTGGCATACAGGGAAGCAAATTTTTCATTGACGTTTATACGGCTAATATTGCGAACCATCTGTATTTTCCTTAAAATTCTCCACTTCGGATTGCATAGGAGTTGCTATAAACGCCCAGAATTAATTAACTGCAAGTACTATTACAAGTCGTTTGCATCTGCAGCGTGAACCGTGCGATTGCCAGACCCTGTAAAAAAAATTTTTCTACGTTTACTAGCAATTCAAGCAAGAAAACCGCGTACTGTACTGTAAAGGCAATTCAGAGTGACACGGAAAAATATAAAAACATACGTTGTATCGAAACCAGATTAAAGCTTTACTGCTGTCGGAGATGTAGATTTCCGGAAACTGAAACCCGGTCTCATGTGCAAGGAAATCGATGCCATGCTTTATTCGGAATTGATCATGGCAACCTTACCATTTCATACAATACAGGTACAGCTGCCATAAACAATGGCGGCTATGGCGGGGACAGTAACAATCGCAGCAGTCATGGTCGGTTTCGCGAAGAACACACGAGCATTCACCTTGACACTGTTCTTTACACATATTGGCGACATGATGGTTAGTAAGCCTCTTCTACATGTGAAAATTAATCACTGTTCATTATTGGATATATTGCACATGCTGAAGAGACGTACAGATAAATTAACATAAATAACATGATTTCATGGCTCGCATAAAGTACGCGAGAGTCAAAGTCCAGCGACAGGAAAGGAAGTGGAATGCCTTGCATTTAGGGTAGGTAGGAGTCTCATACTCATAATGCTTCTCATACTAATAAATTTCCTACTCATACTCATACTGATCATAATCATACTTGCGCTCAAAATTGTCATAATCATAATCATACGGGCGCGTAGAAATTCATAATCATAATTCATACTCGTACTCTCGTATATTTGACTAGTTATAACTAGTAAAAGGTATGTGAATCATACAGTTTTAACGCACAGAGTTCCTTCACGCTTCCGCCCGTTAATTTATTCACATCCACTTTTGTCCAAAGCACAGTAATTAAAATGGAAATCACTATTTTTTTAGCAACGGTTTCCATGTGAGTAACAAAAAAAGGGACGGCCACAACCCAGGCTTTCTGGCAACCGCATTCGCGCCGAAATTATTAGCAAACAGTTTAGCGTGCATACTGCATAGCATCAAACCACTCTCGAGGAGCCGATATGAGCTTAGTTTAGCAGCCATCCCTGTCGGTGGTGGCACGCTTGTAATTAGCCTAATTGTGAACGAAGGTGGACGAAGGAGAATAAAATTTGAATTAAATCTTCGCATGTTAAAATTGCATGTTTTTGAACATAGCAAAAGGTATGAGTATTTGAGTATGATTATGAATAATGTAAGTGTAAGGATGATTATGATTATGACAACTTCGTGCGTCGGTATGATTATGATTATGATGATTAGTATGACTGAATGAGTATGATTACGAATTTTATCGGTATGAGAAGAAATACGAGTATGAGACTCCTACCTAGCCTTGCATTTAGCAACGAAACCAGAGATGAATACAATAATACGAGGTGCTAATATCACTGAAATAATTGATCAGATCTCCGCATTAAAGTGCGACTGCCGATAATAAGAAGTGTACATATCACACCATAGGTGCGATAATATACCATAGCTGTCCATTGTGAACCGGTGACCTTACGCACTGTCTGCGGTTGGGATATGGCAGAATGCGGTAGATAATGCTCCTGACGGAAGTCATCCGGTTGTTCGCTGCTTTCTCTTGCAACGATCAGTTAGGTTTCTGCGCGTATATATCGTCAGCGACGAAATGGACTATGCCACGATATATCGAGGCTTTGGATTTTGTTGACAATCCCGGAGGAATTCGGGCGGCGGAATGAAGGTTATTATGAATATGTGACCGCACTTGCCGTATGAAAACCGCCCGTGCGGATTCATATTCATAATAATCTGCGTATTACTCCAATCCAGTTCAAAGTACCAGAATTGTGTATGCACTATACAGCATATCCTGCCTTGTGACTCTGTTAAATATGCCCTGGTTTTCTGTATTTGTTTAGCAAGGAAACAAGCTAATGACGTACTTATATTGCGGTAAGGCGCTATTTGAAGACACGAGAAAGGATTAACCATAGAAAAATTATTATACAGAGTGGTATAGTTTCGTAGATTTTGTTGTTTCTCAGTAGCGCCTAAAACACTAATTCTAGCAAGAGGAAATCATACAGATGTCGCAACGTAGTATCGGAGGAAACACTTCTCCATGCACATAATATTTCGCTGTATTAGATAAAAAAAGGCTAGTTTTTTTTTTAAATACAATTTTTTTGCATTCTGCGATACATTGATTTTTTGCGCAATTCGGTTACTACAGTATGCACCTTTTTTCATTATGCGATACATGGAGTTTTCGCGCACTTGGTCCTGATTCGCTTGCATTTCGCCATCCCCCATCCAAACATTTTGCAGTCGGATTGACTGCATTTATGGATTAGGTATGGAGAAATTGTGGGTGGTTAAACATCTCCGATCGCGGACACGGCGATAACTATAAGAGATGTCAGATAACTCAACTTAACTGGCGTTTCCGGCGCTAAGGTTAGCTCAGCTGGTCCCGCGCATTCAATGTTGTAGTAAATCGTACAATTATCTGCTAATCAACAGGGAAAGCAGTGCAGCACTCACTAGTTTAGAGTGGCTGCCATAGAATTAATTGCCGGCCTTCGTGTTTACGTACTTTGCGCATGTCCACGCCGTGCATGTACCCCACTGTGACGTGTTTAATTTACGCTAATATCGGCATTTTTATGGCAATTCCGTTAGGTCTACGCCTTTTAGATAGCGAGTTACGCTTCCGAGTTACGTTGTCATGCATAAACTTCCACAGTGCAACCAGTCGTTTGACCTCTACCGGCATAAAATAATCCGGTATACGGTATCTTTCAAATGAATGGAGACCATCCACTTGGCACGTGGATTGTCGCCGAAAGTAACTATTAGCTGCAACACTGTACGAAAACCATCGAGTCCGTCTTTGTGAATTTAATATCGAACATGTTTTAGTATAATGTAAGAACGTCAACCGGTCACCACCCAGATTTCTCTTAATTCGTACGTTGTAAGCGCGCGTTATAAAATCAGTCCGTAATAATATAACACAGCTGCATCACCGTGGCTAGAAGTAGCATATTTATTTCGTTTTGCAAATTTATGGTTTGACAGATGTGAACTAGTCTAATTGTCGGGAATTCAGCAGCCGGGACTGTGCACATGCGAAGAATCGGGGTACTCGCCGGGTTTATTCCCAACCTGGAGACTTCCCGGATACATCGCACTGGCTCGTCTGGATTCCCGGATACGATTGCATCTGCCGAAACACAGTAAGTTCTACCGCTTTACCGATTTGCCTCTGTGTTGATGGAAGAGGAAATTCTTCCTGTTTTACCGATCATGTGAAGCTATCAGCCATTCGTTATCGCTGACTTAAATTCATATTTTTATGTACTGTATTTGCTCCTGAAATTATGTATTATTTGTTCTTAAAATTTGAAATTACTGTTGTGTGCAGTATTCTGCATGTCTTCCTTAATCATGGATGGTTTTTAGCTTGTGTCTTTTATCTCGATTGTCCAGCCAGTCGGTCGCTATTAGATTCGACGTATGTCAATA